GGCCAGCGTTGGACTGGTTTTTGAAACGTAGTGCCTGTGTTGGGGTCACAGTGTTCGTGTAGCAGACGGGTGTTGCGCAGAACGAGCAAAAATTGGTGTGCCGGAGGAACTCGCCCATGTATTTCCACAGTGTTGCTAACTATAATAACAATTCAACAGCTTCCGTTTATATGACTAAAACTATGCAGGAAGCAAAGTGTTTTTAAAGTTCCTTAATTCGTTTTCCTTACTGTGATTTAGTTTAAAATAATTGGTTTTTGAACGGGAAATGCAGAGTAAGGGATTTGTATTACGCGCGGCCCACGACCACCCGGCCTTAACCGGCGCCAAACGTAATGCTAGAATACCCTTTTTCTCCAGAGGGCACTGATTTGACTGCAAGAAAACATGACTTCAATTTGCTGCAAAGATGGAGGCGCTTCAGCCACTTAACCCAATTTAACCTATACTTCTATCAAAACGTCCGTTGACAGTTGATCGGCTGATGAGTTGTGGCGCTTTCATTCAATCGGGATCTTGAACGTCGCTGAGGTGAAGTTTAATCTCCTGAATCGAAGGCAGCGTCATACCCAACCAAGTGACAACGGACTTAATGTTTTAATCGAAGTATAATGTTTTAATAATTAAGGAATAAGATTAATTGAAAATTATTACACTTTTAGTGATTTGATTTTATACAAATTACATAAATGATTGAAGATTTAGGAGAGAAGGTGGGGGCAACTTCACCCCCCTGGCTACGCCCAGGCTTCCATTCTCCAATTATCAGTATAAGTCCTAGAATCACTGTAATACAAGACGGTTACAACAGATAAAATATCATGGTCCCAAAAAAATACTGAAGTTTCACTTGTACAAACACAAACCAACTATTATTGAAAACAACAGTAACATTTGAAACCAATAAAATAAATGTAATTATAATGCAATGTATATAAAGAGTTTTTTGGCTCCAGGTGATAATTTTGTTGAGAAAAAGAAAGCAAGATTAATCAGATGATATACATTATTTTAATTTTAGGAAATAGTTTTGAAAGAGCATAAGTAGCAAATTATAATTTCATTTTCCTTATTACATTACTAATATTTGAGAAATAGTGTGTACCTAAATTGTTATGTTCCCTCTGGATCATTACAATATCCAAATTTTACATTGAACAAAACTATCAAAAAGAAGGAAAAGTTTCGTATGTCATGCATCGTCTCATTTTAAATGTGATTGTAGATTTTAAACAAACCATTCTGTAAATTTCAGTTTCAGATATCAGTTTTAAGATTTTAATGCAAATATGTTTTTGGAGTATTAAATTATATTAAATAATTGGTTTTTACAAAAACACCCTACCATGAATAAAAATGCTTTAACTTTGGTCTCAATATTTTCCAAATTTTATATTCTATATCTTTTTTGTATGTGTTTCAGGTGAAATTGGACGATGCATTGCCTCTTTGTATCTGTTCCAATTGTTTGACAGTTTTGAATCAGTGGCATGAGTTGTATACAACTTGTGTTGCTGCGGATGGAGTTCTTTTGAAGACCTTTGGTACAGAATCGCACGTGAGTGACAAGGTATTTCCAGTGTATTTCTATGTTGTAGCATTTCTTATTGTTTTTAAGTGAACCTAGTTAATAAAATAATTTGTAGATTTTGTAAAGTTAAAATAAGTAGTTTGAGACTGTGATTTTCATAATCATTTGGGTTTTTGCTATAACAGTTTTTATTATTCACTTAATCAACTTCACTATGTTACATCATTGCAAAGATAGATACAGTGGTACATTTACATTCATGCTCGTTATAATTTATTGGTATTTTTTTTGTTTTAGAAACAGATGTGCAGTTCTTAATTCAATAATAAAAAGATAACCAATGCAGTATTATTACAATTTTCAAAATCATTGTATCTAGAGCATTATTTGATATTATACCTTTCACATGTTATTGAATGCTGATACTCTAAAGTTAACCTTTTCTGTGGAGAATTCATGCAATTGGTAATTAGATAGAGAAGGAAAATTGAATCGATTCTCAGTGAACTACTGAATGATATATTTACAAATGCTGATGTATAGCTATTGTCCCTGTCAGTAAGTGGATGAGACAAATTAATTCTCAGTGTCGTTAGTCTTAAAAAGTAAAAATATATGCTTAATTGTCTCAATTCTAGAGCAATGAATATTAACTCCAGCACACCATATCACAAATACTAACATCAACATTGGTCTAACTAGTGATAAACATAAACATTTTAATACTTTGGTCGAGCAAAACTCAGCACAAGTTCGCCATAGAAAACCCCAAAACTGGTTAGTCTAATGTGCAACTATAAAAATAATTTCCTTGGATGTTATTTTCGTATCAAAAACGAGGACAGTTATTGATATTTCACCACTAAGAGACTTGTTCAATTTTATATACTAAATTATGTTCAGTCAGTATTCTTGATTGCGATAATGATATGTTCTTGCACAGTAGCGTAACGAAATAAGTGCGGAACCTCCCGCAAATCTTTTGCTCCGGCCACCTTTATAAAAGTGTATAGCAAAACACAAGTAGTTTTAGTACCTTAAATGGTAACAACATCCCGTAAAAATAGGCCCTCTGTTCCCGGGGCCCGTCCGTTACGCCTCTGGTCTAGCATTTGGACAGATTTACTACAAGCTGATATCAGGTTGATAGAATAACGTGTGCGGAAATAAGGGAGAGAATAAAAATAAAAGATGCAACACAAGAATCAACACAGAAATCAAGTGGAGATGGGATGGTGTTATTTTGAGACAAGATCAACAGATATGGGCGCAAACACCTTGACAACTGGGGACCCCGGAATTGGATGGAGGAAAGTGGGACGATAAAGAAATAGATGGACGGGTGACGTGCAAAAATAATACTCAACAGTTGGACTAGACCAGTACTAGACAGAACTACATGGAGGAAATGGAAGCTGAATGACATGGGAAACAGAAGAAAAGTGATGAAGACGTGTAGACGGAAGTGTAAATGCAGAGGTTACAGATCGGTTATACTGTAGTGCTTAAAATGAACTGGCGCAACTGACGTTTTGGATCTCTTTTTTTCTTTTGAATTGGAACTTATTTAATATGTAAAATTCTCCCCAAAAGCAGGAGGTCCTTGCCCTTAACGGGATGTATAGTGGCTAATAATAATAATAATAATAATAATAATAATAATAATAATAATAATAATAATAATAATAATAATACAACCAGAAAACTGCTTACAATGCATCACGCCGCCCACACTCGCACTGATGTACATAGTCTTTATGCGTCACGTAAGGAAGGAGGAAGAGGCCTCAGACAAATTGAATCCGCCTGGCACGATGCAATAGTCGAGATGAGAAAGTGTGTAGTCAAGATGACCCTCTAATGAGGCAGGTCGTGAAATCTGACTGAAGAACGGCAAACAGGCATTAATAGTGTAGCAAGAAGCATTTCAAAGAAAACTACGCGAGACACGCAGAATAACACTGACACTCAATATCTGATGCAATAAACATGAAATTGAGACACAAAATGTTAAAGAAATCGTGGAGTGACAAGCCACTCCATGGACAAGTGCTAAAAAGAATGGAGAATATGCAGATCAATAAAGATCAATTATTTATGTGTCTTACAAGGGTAAGAATGAATCATAATCGAGAGCGTTGAGAACACATTATGATAAAGCGGTTCTGAAAATTTACCAGGATGATAAATGCCGCATCTGCCGGGAAGAAGTAGAAACCATTGATCATATCGTCTCATCTTGTACAATGCTAGCAAAGACAGAATACTTGAAAAGACACGACAGAGTGTGTGGGCAGATCTGTACCGCTCTCGAAGTTCTAACACATGCCCCAAGTGGCGCGAACACTCTTCAAAACCGGTAATATCTGTTGGATTCTATAAAATATTGAGTGACCTACAAATTCAAACCCATCACACGATAGCAGCAAACAAACCCGGATCTTGTTATCCTGGATTTGGAGAAAAAATTGTGTCTACTTGTAAATGTTGCTGTGTCTTGCGATCAAGACCTAGTAACTAAGGAGGCAGAGATAAGTTGAATGCAAGTGTACAACCGAATGTGGGGCGTAAAAGCGCAGGTTGTGCCGGTAGTCATCGGAGCCCTGGGATTTGTTCCGCAAAATTTGTGTGGTAAGTTGATTAAACTCCCAGGTCATTCAAAAGACCGGGAAGTGAAAGAAATTGCTTTATTTGGAACAGTGCGTGTAATAATTATGATAATAATAATATAATAATAATAATCCGTGGGAGTGGCTGGTCTCCTATCGGACGCATCCCCAGGTGGCGGATGGAGGAATGCTCTAACCGGCCACGCCGGAGGGTAGGTGGGAAATAAAATACCA